TTGTATTTTTAGAATTTAGATACGAATTGAATTAGGGAGTATTTACGACAGATCTTCACTTTTCTAGCGAATAAAATATTTGAATTGGTTTTATTGAATTTTAGATGTACTGCCTATTTTTTTTTAGAATATTTATTAATATATTTAAATTAAATACGCAACAGTGTTTCAGGAATTAAAAGGAAGAAACTTATGAAACGAATAAAAATTGCAAACGTAGCAAAAAGCTAAGTTACTGTTATACTACATTACTGTACAAATTAAAATACATGAGAGTTCATGAATTTAAAACAAAGTTGATCATTAGACTCCTATATTAAATGTTTTGAACAATATTTATAATTCGTTTCTTTGTATGAAAATGTATAGCTCAATAAAATTATTTAAATTATCTTAATTATTTAAAACGAAAACGTTAATTGTTAGATTCCTGTGTTAAATGTTCTATATCATAATTTATTCCTTTATATAAAGATATATAGATCAATACATAAGTGCAGTAAAATATTAAATTTCATTTAATATACGTAAAAATAAAATTCATAAATATCCGAGATTTAATTTCCAATGATAATAAAAGTTGCAGATCTTTTAGCCATTTTAATAAAAACAAACAAATCAAAATTTGAATAATAATGATATTAATAAAAAGTATTGTTTTCTAAGTAATATTGCGTATTTCTACGGGAAGTTAAATGTTAAGGTACGTCACTGTTTTATCCGTTTTATCACACAACTAACTGTTAAATTGATAAGACACTGGTTAGCGTTTTAGAAACTATGTATCTGAAATCGTATGTTGGAGGTTGAAGGGAAACCGACAGCAGGATGATCTGCATTCGTAATGTTCATTTATTGTCATGACATATACGATTAATGATGTCTCTACCGCATGGGAGCAAGGTTAACGTCGATTACAAAGCACGACTAGAACACAAGTTATACCTGGTATGTTTCTTAATGAATGGAGGTTAATCATTTCATAGCCTTATGTAATAAATATATAATTTTTAGCTTCATACTTTTTGTATGAAAGATATAAAACAATTTTCATATAATATTCTTGTTTGGTAGATATTTGATATTTACATACTTTAAATATTTGATATCATTTTTGTTTATTTGATATTGATTTAATTATTTCATTAATAGAAAAATATTTAAGTTCTTTTCATAATAAAAACAAAGTATTGATATTAATTATATCAATTGTTGTTCAAGTATGTAAATACATATGACTATTCTTTATCGTAGGCTAGAGAAAATCCAGAACCAATATTTGATGTGTCTGAATGTGCTTTGAAACATGTACCCTCTGGTATCTATTCATTATGTAAAGTATTTAGAAAGAAGGTGCTACTGATGTATAATAACAAGTTAACTTCACTTTCGGCTGGAGGTGCCTTAAGCGATTTATCATTACTTGCTGTATTAGATATTCATGGAAACGAATTTACTCATTTACCATCAGACATAATGTGTCTTGCTTCTCTCAAGGTATATGTTATTCTAGTATTAAATTACTAATACTTATTATTGAAGTAATATAAATTAAATTTGTCTGAAGTTCTAAATCATGTTTTAATTGAATGTATTTTAGGAACTTTATTTACAAGACAACAATATACGAAAACTGCCAAATGAAATAGTAAATTTAAGTAAATTAAACATATTAAACGTTGCAAAAAACAAGTTGAAACAGTTGCCAGAGGCAATGGGAAATTTAAAGCATCTTGCTATATTAGATATTAGTTATAATAAACTTCATAAACTTCCAAAATCTCTGGGTTATGCACAACAATTAACAGAATTAAACATTAATGGATTAAACTTGTTATATCCACCTCAAGATATTTTAAATGGAGGCACAATAGTAATTATAGCATTTTTAGCGAATGAAATTGGTATTAAATATTCACCAGAAGAACCTGATTCTAAAACAAATTTATCAAGAAATATAAATTTTGAAGATATACAAGGAATATATCAAAATAAAAATAATGATGTACAGGTATCATATATTATCATGAATCAGATTATAGGATCATGAATTTTGATGTTGCATTCACAGTGTATCTTAAATGTTTTGATTTTTATTTTTAGGCTGCATTACAGAAGCTAGAAAAAACGAAGGCATGTGGATGCTTCTTTTATTTTAGCATGCTTTCAAATGTATTTCACTGCATATTTACTATTGTTTATTGTGAGATTTAATTTTTATTTATAAAATACTTATTACGTTTAAAAATTAATTTACGTATTTATTTGCTTGTATTATTTTGAAATAACTATGTTTCTGCAATATTTTATTAAATAAAGAAAATTATTTACAATTTAAAAATTAATTATATTTTGTAGGAACACCGTCAAACTGCATTATTGGAAGTAGAAAAGCATATCAAGCAACAACAAGAATATGAGATGGAGATGCAATTAATGTTAAAAAAACATAAGAGAAAGGTATCTAAAATTAGAATTATTTATTTACAATTAATATTTTTCATTTCTATATCAAACTTATTATAATTGCTTGCATTAAAATATTTTCATTTCTAGCTTTTGGAAGATCTTGCTCTACAGCAAACTCAATTACAACATGAATTACAAAAAGTACAACAAGAAAAAGATTCTAACAGAGCACGCTTACTTTCCTACATTTATAATGGTATAATTGAAATATTTCTCTATTATAATAAAAAGAAATACCTCTTAACAAAATTGAAAAAATATTTTCCTTGAAATTTTCTTTAGCTGAGAAAGAAGCAGATAATGTTATCAAAGAATTTTTAAGAAATAGTGAAGAAGAAAGACAAACTCAGGCTGAATTATTAGAGCAAGAAAAACAAGAAGAAATGCAATTATTATCTTCTTGTCACACAGAACAATTTATGTTTCGCACAAAGGATACTCTTTGTAAGTATTAAATATTTAAAATAATGTATATATCTCATTATGTAATTATATTGTATTTATATATTTATGTATACTATTTTAATAGTTTCAATGGAGAAATTACTTGAAGAAGAACTTCATAAGACTAGAAAGTTTGAAGAACATAGCAAGTATAGAGATTATACTGCGCAGTCTTTGCTCACATTGTTAGTAACATGCTAATATTTTACATAAAGCTATAAAAATGTCTAATATCTAGCTAATATTTCAGAGAAGTAAGGAATAACGATCATTTAGCACAAATAATGCAAAATCAAGAAGAAAAAAGACAAGATTTAATTGACACATTAAAACAAGATGAAGTTTTACAGAAGGCTGCTGTTGCAGCATTACTAGAACGTAGCGATGCACGTTGTTGGAGTATTGTACAACAAGTCAATTTGGTACAATCGCAATTAGCTGCACTTACAAACATTGAACTAGAGAGGAGAAAATTAGAAATTAACCAGCAACTCGTATGTAATATCTATAACTATTAAATTTCTCATATATATACCTATATTTCTATATTATGAAGATACATTTTACTATTTTACTAAATAGAATGAAATAGCTGAAAAAAGAGTAGCCTTGAGTGCTATTCTAATGAACTTATTAGAACAACAGAAAAACAGAAGAGATCAACTTCTAGAAACAATTAATACGATAGAACAACAACGTTGTATTAATGTAAGTATGGACTTATATATTATTCTGTTATTTTTTAAGATAATTTTTATAAAATTATTATTTTATTTTTTAAGAATTCTAGAAAACAAAGTCAATTTTGGTTAATGCAATATCAGTCTTTAATGGAAACACGTCCTCAAGGTTTATTGGAAATGTTAGAGCCGACATTAGTGCGACATGTTGCAATAGCAGGTGCATTACACTGTTTGCCATTTCTAGCTTCCTTGCCATCATTACTTCCAGATCTTAATGATGAACAATTAAAAACTGTATGTGAAATATCAATTCATTTTTATTATCCACTATCACTCAATTTATAAATTACAATAGTGTATGTTTTGATATTCTAGATTGGAATACATTGTGAAAATGATCGCACTGCTATAAAACTTGCAGTTGAAAATTATTTAGCAGAATTAAAACTCAATGAATCTAGAACACCTATAACACCTTCTGCACCACCAGAAGAAGCTTGTACAAGTTTTAACTATCAAGAATATAATGCTACTCAGAGCATCAATACTGCCGAATGTGTAATTTGCCTTGATTTACAAGTAAGCAAAATTTTTGTCCTATTTAAAAAATTTTTGATTTATAGTACAATTATACAATCTTTTACTTCATTTTTCTTATAGTGTGAAGTAATTTTTCTACCATGTGGACACCTTTGTTGCTGTTCAGGTTGTGCAAATATGATTTCTTCAGATTGTCCAATGTGTAGAAGTGTGATAGATCATAAAATTCACATTGTAAAGCCTTAAAATATGAATATTTTTTTGTAAACAATTCCAGTTAAATATCATTTGTCTATTAGTTTAACAGTACGTTAACAAATTACTATTTCAAAATTTATATGAAAGAATGTAACGATATATATCCATATACTTTAGCTATTTCCATCTACAAAAAGAATATTTCATAAAAGTATAAAATTTAACCAATAAAATTTTTTTTAATTACATATTTCTTCCATTTAGTAAATTATTTTTGTATTATATTCTTATTTTTTTTTAAATTACAATTATTGAAAAAAAATTTTAGAAACAAAATTTAGTTATACAAACAACACAATAATGATAATTTATAGAGATACGAGATGTATAATAATATTTAAGATAGATTAAAATTATCTAACTTTTTTATTGTATCTACAGCATAAATAAGAAAATATTTTAAATATTTGAAAATGAAAGAATAGAATGAGTTGCATTTATTAACACTTGACTACAAATATTCACTTTTATATGAAATGGTCACTGACATATCTGTAAATACAATAGCTTTACAGTATTGTGAAAATTACAATTTTAATCTATAATGGTAGTTAAGAGTTAATAATGCAAAAAATAAAAATAAAAATAATAAGCAAGCTTTTGTAAATGATAGTTTATATAAGAAAATTTTTTTATAAAAATTCACTTTCCAAATGCAGTATCTTAAAAGCATTCATTAATAAAACATTTACATTTTATCAATGTATATATAGTCTTTAAGCAAATATTGTTAAGCTTAACGAATAAAAAATTTAAAAAAGATTTGTTTTGAAGAGTTTAAGAAAATCTAAGGAATATTTGAACTATTTAAAACATTACAATCTCTTTTATACTAATATATTTCACTTTTTATTTTATAATAATAAATAGAGACATGTGACAAATCTGATAGACTTATACAATAATTGTGTAAAATATATGCTTACTTTTATGCATTATAATTTATATATTTAATATGTATTAAAAAACCATAACTTCTCTTCCTCCATCCTCCTCCTCTATTACATCATCTCCATCCTTTTTCTGTTGCTTTTTTTTAGATGTTGCATCTTTCTTTTCTTTTTGAGCTTTTCGGAAATTCTCTAATGATTCCTGCAGTGGATCAACAAATTGGTCAAAGTCAATATCATTCATTGCTTGAATAACATCTTGACCACTTATTGTTTTACGATTTCCTTTCTTAGCTATTATATTTGCAGATGATGTTAAATACAATATAAAAATTGAAGATGCTTTTGCTACTGCAGTTCTAGCATCTTTGGCAATTGTAACTCCTTCTGGTAATGCTTCTTTTATAATCCTTGTTACAACTGCATTTGGTAAATTAAGATCTTCGAGTCTTTCTGCCATCTGATTTACTTATTTATTCTACAGAGACACAATATTTAAGACACTTATTTATTCTACAGAGACACAATATTTAAGATTGTAAAATGCTATAAAAACTTAATTACAATAAACTACATTGTAAACAATTATATGTATATATTATAAGGTTATGATGAACGAAGAATATAAATCAAATGCAGGAAAAATTACGAATTAATTTACCTTCTAAAAATTTTCTAAAAATTTTGTTCTAAAACTTTTATTACGTCCTAGCTATTTAATAATCGGTTTATACTAAAATCGTATTAAAATAAAAATTTTGGTATGCGATTTCTTCTTATTTCCCGCCAATATGTCTAACTGGATATATATTCAACAGAAATTGAAAATATAATGCACGTGTAATAATTCACATAGAAAAGAAACAATAAAATGTCACAGGCATGTGAAATTTTGCAGCATTTGCACTAAATTCAAACAAATAATGTCAACAATCATACTTCTAATTTCAAGTGCTACAACTACAAATCGAGTTTTCAAGTGATATAACGCATAGTATAACAAATCTAGATCCTTTACTCACGCTGCCATCCATATAAAAGAAAAAGCGCAAAATCTAGTATTTCTTCAACCACGTATATTGTTAAATAAATAAAACCTGTTAACAGATATTTCGCACAACTTAAAACACTACATTATGTGCAAAACATATTAATATTAATAAAATATATATGTATTTCTTATCAATCCTAAATACAAAAAAGTGCTATGAATTGCATTGTACGTTTAATATATTACATAAAATTAGTAAAATTTCATTTTTTGCTTAGTTGACTTTTTTATAGTTTAGTATTTAATATTTTGTTTCCTTTAATAATATAATGAAATAATAGAAAAAGATTATATACTATGTCTGTTTGCTTTATATTTAATGTTACTTTTATTAAAATGTTTCTATAATAAAAAATAATTTCATGTTATAACGAACTAATGAATTAATTTTATTTATATATAATATATAAATTATATATTCATAAAGAGATATTTCAAATAATGTTAATGTTCCCGCTATAATGTATAGTTACAGTATCGATTAAGTTGGGAGTGACATGAAAATAAGAACTAGCCAAACTTTTTCGCATACAATCGTAGAATAACATATACATTGACAAACTAGTCTAACACATTTGTTCGTATAGAACAAATCTGTCGTCTTTACGGTGGTTGACAAGAATCATTCGATACCAAAACTAATTTCGAAACTAACAGCTTTATCATTACAATCAGCAAACATAACGAAAATCAAAGAAGACACCATTCGGAGAAAAATGTCAAAAATCGAAGAAGGAAATGCTCATATACGACAAGCTGAGAAAAGGTACTGTCAATGCAGAACGACAAATCACAAGTAATTGTATCAACAATTAATCTGACTTTCGTCAATTTTTTTATATGAGATCGATAATACGTACTTTCTCATAGCGTAAAAATAATTTCATTTTTATTGATCCGCCTATTCAAATAAAGTAAATATATGTTATAGCTTAAAAACATCACTGTTAAAATGGAAACCTGATTTCGAAGTTGCGGGTGATGAATATACAAGTGCAGGTAAAATATATGCAATAATTGACATAATAATATCGTAGAATTAATAATGATACTTTCTGCTATTTATTTTAGCAACTTGCTTTAGAATAGCAAAATCTTATCAAGAATGTAAAGATTGCTTAATAAAAGCTGCTAATTGTTATAAAGACAACAAATCGTATCCTTTTTTTTAAATAGATAATTTTTATGTATTTATATATAGTATGACTTTAAGTTCTTTCTCTATAATTAAGAAGTATATTTATTCTTTAATACATATTTTATTACATAAAAGATGGTTTCATGCTGCAAAGTAAGTTCTTTAGATTTTTATTAATATTATATTTTATAAACAATGCTATCAGTTATTATAATACAATTACAGGAGTATGGAACAAGCTGTGCTAATTTGCAAGGAGATGGGAAATCTTGCGGAAGTACCGAGACTAGCACATACTGCTTGTTCTATGTATCAAATACATGGGTCAACTGAATCAGGTGCAACTCTGCTTGATAAAGCAGCCAAAATGATGGAAGCTACTCAATCACAAGATGCACTAGAATTATTTAAACGTGCCGCTAACGTTGTCTTGGTTAGATATAACTTTTTTTTATAACTGATTATGATGTAATTGAAAATCATATATATACTTTTTAATGAAGGGTGAAGATAATCCACGTCAGGCAGCAGAATATACGAGCAAAATGGCAAGATTATTAGTAAAATTACAAATGTATGATGAAGCAGCAGCTGCAATTCGCAGAGAAATTGGAATGCTAAAAAAGGCAGATCATACACCTTCTATTGGTAGATTAACCGTAGCATTAGTGTTAGTGCAGTTAGCTCGAGGTGATCAGGTAGCAGCTGAGAAAGCTTTCAAAGAATGGGGAAATTACTGTGAAGCTCCTGAGGTCTGAATTATATTTCTTAGAAATTTGAAATTTCAAATTAAAAACATTACATTTATCTTTATTATTCTTATTTATCTTCAGATTAATACATTAGAAATGTTATTACAAGCATATGATAATGAAGATGCAGAAGCTGCAAGAGCAGCATTAAATAATCCTTTCATTAAACACATGGATGTTGAGTATGCTAAACTTGCTAGAGGTTTACCTTTACCACAGCAAGAATATGCAATACCTCCTCCAGGAGTAAGAGCAAATGCAGCAGAATCATATACATCTCCTAATGCTACAAAATTAATGGAGGAAACTACAAATCAAGTTCAAGTAAGCAATCAATTTTTTTGATTTGCAATATATGATAAAATCACATGTAAAAAAGAATTCATAACAATTTTCTTTCAATTTACATTACTTTTCAGAACATGAGTATTAAAGAACCTAAAGACACTACTGCAGATACAGTCTCAGTTGAGAAAGAAGAGGCACAAGCAGAGACATTGCCTGCAGATACAGTCTCAGTTGAGAAAGAAGAGGCACAAGCAGAACCTTCGAAAAATATAGAAAATGAAGAAGACTATGAAGGCGGACTATGTTAATTGCATATTATTATTAATTTATATTTTGAAGTTTAAACTAACTTTATTTTGTAAAAGGTACTATTGTATATTGTGTTAATTCAGAGATATATATATTTAATGCTTATAAAAACAGTCTTACACAGCAGGCATACACATACACATATACATACATATATGTATATACATAAATCTTAAATCTTGTTAAATTATTTAATGCACAGTTATATTTGGTAAAAAAAATTCTAAGAATATTCTTAAACACACTTCCAGAAATGTAATTCTGCTTGCAATTTTACTTATTTAAAACAACATACAGTGCACGCAATAAATAACAGCTGCATATAATATTTTAAATATAGTTCCTTATACAC